TCTATCTATCTATCTATCTATCTATCTATCTATCTATCTACACAAAAAGGGACTTTATTGGAATAACTTACTGACTGCAGTCTAAGTAATTCAACAAGGACTAGTTGTAAATGGAAAGTCCTGAATCTAGTAGTTGCACAGTCCCATGAGGCTGGGTGTCTCAGCTGGTCCTCTGTATATGCTGGAACCCCAAAGAAGTAGGTTCCAGTGCCAGTGAAGGAATGGATGTGCAGGCAAGGCAGGAAGAGAAGAATGGATGATCTCTTCCTTCTTCCATTGTCCTTATATAGGCTCCCAGCAGAAGCTGTGGTCCAGATTAAAGATGTATCCTCCCACCTCATGATCTGGATTAAATGTCTGTGTCTTTCTGGCTCAAAATCCTGATCAAAGGCATGTTGTCTTCCTGCCTCAAGATTCGAATCACAGATGTGTCCTCCATTTCTGGACTGTAGTTCATCTCAGATATAGTTAAGTTGACAACCAAGAAAAGTCATCCTAATCCTTCCAGTCCTGTCAATGTTTTGCACTCACCAGCATCCTTGTATTTTGTGGATCTTGGTAAACAAAGCAAAATTTGAAATAAACTTAATAATTAGCGTTCTTGAGGACAAGAAACTGGATAGATTTGGGAAATGGGAGATGGCATAGAAGCAGGATGGACTCCTAAGTTTGAGGTGTATGAAGCATGTTTTCTAAAATGGAAATGTCAAAGAAAGAGAAGGGTGCAGCAGGATGATGGCTAAAGTTTAGCTGATGAGTTTGAGGTGCATCTAGGGGGTTTTGGAGGAGACATTGCTGAGCATTAGGACACGTAGAGGTACAGAGGAGAGATGAGACACTCTGAAGCCGAGGACACCAAGGGAAGCCTGCAGCTGGAGAGTACCTCTGATCATATGGACAGAATGTGGCCAAGGATGGAAATCTAAGGAACTTCAATCTTTGTTTCTTGAGGAGGAAGAGGAGAAGGACCCAGGAAGGAAAGTGGTCCAGTAGTTTAGGTGATAGAGCAAAACCAAGAATACTGATACCTCAGGTCAGGCTTCTCCTAAAGGCAGAGATGGTGGAGGGCACAGATTGGTTGACCCTCTCACCTTCCCTACTTCTCTTCTTCCCACCATTCACTCAGTGGTGGACCAGTACTCAGGTCAGTCTCGTGTTTGTCCTTCAGACGGTGACAAGAAGGTAGAATTTTCCCAATAGCCCATGGACTACAATGGGTGATTTTTCTTTCACATCATCTCTCCTCCTTTCCCTCTCTTTCATCTTTTTTGATTTTTTTTTTTTTTGCGATAGGATCTTATGTAGGCTCAAATGACTTCAAAGTCACTACGTAGCCAAGGTTGGCCTTGAACTCCTGATCCTCCTGTCTCAACTTTCCAGTGCCTAAATTCCTGGAATGCTCCACCATGGGAGTTATCTATATGGGCATAGAGTTGCCACCCAGTTCTCCAACTGTCACCATTCTTTCTGAAGGTGGCACCAGTAACCCATGTGCTCCTGTCCATGAGAACTCAGACACTTTCTGATTCCTGTGTCAAAACTGACCATAGGAAAGGTCCACCAGCTTCCCAAGGGAGGATGTGAGATACCCATTTGAATAGTTCTCTGGGTGACAGTGAACTGTAACCTGTCAATCATGAATGATAGGGATTGCTAGTTAAGGGACTTCACCCATAGAAGGAGAGTGCGGAGAACTTATAGATTGTTTTAGACCGTTTCAGTTATGTGTTTTTTTGGTACAGAGGTTTCAACTTGTCTTCAAACTCATGATTTTTCTGCCTTAATGTCCCGAGTGGGTGCCTTAATCCACACACTCCACTTAGAACATCTAAGTTTCCTTGCTATCCAGGCAGTGTCTAATACTGAGCCTTAATGTTGGTGTTGTGCCACGCTTTCTGCACAGCAGTGGTTCAGACATAAACCGCTTAAACACCTTGAGCACACGTGTATTTATGTACCATATGGTGGATATGCATTGCTCTCTTCAGCATTGCTCTATACAGCCTATTGGTTTTAATAAACAGACCTTAGTTTGTAGTAACCAGTTACAAATACTGTCAAAATTGAACTTCTCTAGATGAAAACTGAATTTGTGCCGGAGGCCATCCCTGGTGGTAGACAGGTCCCAGCAGAGGATGTTAGGAGTTGGCTAGGGAAGAAGGTAAGCCAGGCCATGGTGGTCAGGAGAATCTTGCAGCCTGCCTGACTCTCAGTCAAAGTGCGTCTTTGTTTATGCAGAATTTAGTAATCAGGCATATATTCATGTTGTTCCAAAACATAGAGCATATCAAATTTTTTGGGACATGTGTGTTAGTTCCTTTTGCTCATCTCTTAGTCATCATTCATAAACAATGACAGAACAGAGTTATCATTTCCATTCATTATCTCTCATGATTTGACATCATTAAAAAAAAAGAGTTATTTTTACTCATTAACCCTATAACTCAATTTTTAAGAACCTAGAGGCATCCCAAGATAAGTCTTCAGGCCAAAACTGCTGCAGTTATAATTCAAATTCTGGTATAATACAATGTTTATATTTTATATTTCTATATTTGTCTATATATCTAATCCTGACATTCTGTTGTTCCTTGGTCACACTACACCACAGTGACACTGTATTGCTAACTTTTCTAAGAAAGGAGATCCTGACATCTCATTCTTTTTATCATCACTTCAGTCCATACTTTGACAATCAGTATAACTTCAGATAATCTAACTTTGTTGTTGTATGTGCCACGTAATTATCAGAGTGTACAGTGGGAAGAGGCTTGATCTGTGGTCAACTCCTCTAACCCACCAAATTTTGTTGACCTTTTTAAGGTTACTTTGTTTTTATTATCTTGGTGCTGAGTAACTACAGGAATAGATGCTTTAACAATATCTCATAGCCTCATAAAGAGACCTCTGGTTTTTTATGTATGTCACAACCTCAAGGAAGACCTTGGAGGTAGATAAGGATATTTCCCTATAAGCAGAGAGGTAGTATGTTCAAGACTTTCCTGGGGAAGTTTAGAAGCAGTACTCCTGGGAGAAGGCATAAATGATTCATAAAATATTTAACATCAATTTAATATTCCCAATATGTGTTGTGTAAGGTTTTCTGACCTGCCCAGTTCCTGCAGTCATTAAATCCCAAAGAAATAACATAGAAATCTACATTAGTTATAAACTGATAGGCCTAGTAGCTTAGACTTCTTATTTACTTATTCTTATAACTTATGTTAGCCCATTGTTCATGTCTGTGTTAGCCACGTGGCTTGGTACCTTATTCAGCAAGGCACTCACATCTTGCTTCTTCTGTGGCTGGGTCAGGACTACAGACTAGGACTTCTTTCTTCCCAGAATTCTCCTGTTCTCATTGACCCACCTGTACTTCCTGTCTGGTTGTCCCACCTATACTTCCTCCCTGGCTACTGGCCAATCAGCATTTATTTAAAATATAATTGAAAGAATACAGACCATATGTACAAATATTAAAAGTCCCCAAATACACAACAAGTGGAGATAAAAATCAAATGTGGCTGGGCTTTTGTTGTTCTCATCAGATGTGACCATGCCAAATTTGACTAAAAGCTCTCTGTGTTAGACCTGGAAAAAAGTCCAAACTCCATTGATTTGGGGAGGTTTTTCTCTTTCATAGAACAGAGATCTCTTTTGTGTTTTGACGTAGGAGTGTCTTTATCTATCTGTTGCTTTCATTGGTTAATTAATAAAGAAAACTGCTTGGACTGATAGGGCAGAATTTAGATAGGTGGAGTAGACCTAGCAGAATGCTGGGAAGAAGGGAAATGAGACAGTCGCCATAGCTCTCCTCTCCAAGATGGATGCAGGTTAAGATCTTCCTGGTAAGCTACCACCTTGTGGTGGTACACTCATTAATAGAAATGGGTTAATCAAGATGTGAGAATTAGCCAGTAAGAGGCTAGAGCTAATGGGCCAAGCAGTGTTTAAAAGAATACAGTTTACATGTAATTATTTTGGATAAAGCTAGCCATGCAGGAGCCGGGTGGCGGGAAGTGACCCGCCGCTCCACACTACAATGTTTCAAGAACATGATGGCAGAGCCATCCTTGCAGGGGAGTCAAGGTGGGAGAAACATAAAATAACTGCTCCCATCACATCCACCAGCAGGAGCACAGAGCACAGAGTTAATGTGTGTTTATGATCACTACACTTTCTCCACGCAACACTCCAGGAACCCACAGTACGCAGGTCTAACTGTAATTAATATAATCTCTACTAGACATGCTCAAAGGTTCACAAATAAAACCATTCTAGTCTCCACCCTGGGTGGTGGCCATGACTACAGACTTTGGATTTTAGAGATGGTGACTCCAGGCCTTACATGTGCATTTTCTTGGGTCATGTGGAATCTTCTATAAGATTCCAACAGCCATAGAGTCCTTTGCTTTGTACCCACTTGGCTGGTCATTTGCACTCATATCTTGTCTTCTCAGAGTCCCTACCACTAGCTCAGGGCTCTCTAGTTATAGAACCCACTGTCTAAAATACTCTTCTACAGACCCTTTCTTCAATTCATTGCGTGTTCATGCTCAATTACAGGATGTGATATTCTCTTAGATTATTCTCCATCCAATTAGATTCCTAGTACATCTCCTTTTGATAAGTTGATGCCATTGCTGTATGGAAAAATGGACTTAATATTTTATTTCAGAAACTCATTTTCTGTATATGATAGAAAAATTAGTCAGATTATGTAAAATCTTGTTTTGTTGCTAGTCTTTCTGTGTCAGGATCTTTGGTTTTCCAAGAAAGATTGTTTTAGGATTGGTTCATGGCTTCCTTCCATCAAACATTACTGAAGAGCAGCAAGTCTTGTTCTGCAATTTACATTCCAAGCTGTTCCTTAGTGTTCCAGGAAGAAGCATCCATGCTCTTGCAGGTTCATGTAAAGGCCACACGTCGAGGATTGCCACAGTAGTGGCTCTGTGGGTCTCATCTCTCAATGATGTAAATGTTCTACTCTCTACATGCAGAACTCAGATGAATGCGAGGTGTGCCAGAATGTAGGGTTGCTCTTCTGCTGTGACACTTGCCCCAGAGCCTTCCATGAGGAGTGTCACATCCCTGCGGTGGAGGCTGAGAAGTAAGTGAGTTGTGGTCCCCATTCTGTCTTCTCCTAGACACTCTTTCCTTGTCACACACATTACCTTTGTAGATTGTGAACTTATGCCTCAACAGGGGGTAAGCAAGAGCTCTTACTAACAGACACCAAACAGGAAGATGCAGAGAGCTGTTTCTAGATGCTGTCAGCAAAAGGTTGATATTCTCTGTGTTAGGGGAAGCTTCTCTTCTGTTACAAAGGCTGGACCCTTTGTCTACAGACTAACTACTGCCTTTTCCTCAAAGGTGTTCACCAGAGCCCCTTGTGCAAGGATTGAGAGTGGCATATGCCAAGTTCTTTTGTTTTATATTTATTCATAAAAGAAGGAAATATGACCACGACCCACATTTACCCAGGTTGTAATGGACCAATCAAGGTCTAAAGTTCCAAGAATTTGTGGAAGACCATCTTCTATGTACAGACCTAATAGCCTAGCCTCTCTGCTCCCAGAAACCAGAAATGTGGTTTCCCCCACTGACCATAAATCCCACTTTTTCCAAGGACTGGCTCCTACCACAACTCTGATGGGAGTAATGGCAGCTTAAGATCCTACATGGGGTTGCTCAGAGCCCAGGGACCTCTCCCCCAGATGACATCACCAGCCATTCTGAAAGCACAGTGGCAGGCATACAACAATCGCTGTTTTCAGGTCTTGTCCCCTACTCACTTCATGTTCAACTTTTCAGGACACCATGGAGTTGCATCTTCTGCAGGATGCAGTCCTTAGGAAGCCAACAGACTCATCCAGAATCTGAGGTACTACAGAGGCAGATGGCGCCCCAGGAGCAGTTGGTGAGTCCCTGTGAACCCCACACTTTCTCCTTTCCCCTGGAAGAGCACAGAAGAACAGCAGCAATGGAGCCTGCTTCCCCAATCCACATTCCATCACGCTGCTGTCACAGCACAACCCATTGGCTGAAGAACTAACTCAGCCTTTATAAGTCTGTAACCAAGAGACACTCGTGTTGGGGCACATTCCAGATATGTCTGAGTGGTGCCTTTCTCCTGGGTATGTGTATGGATTCTGTCTTAATAAGTCACTTTGACTAAGTGTTCTTTTCTCGCAGAAGTGTGAATTTGTCCTCTTGAGAGTCTACTGCTGTTCTGAGAGTTCCTTTTTCTCCAAGATGCCATATTATTATTATGTAAGTAATGGTGGTGAGCCTCCCATCACTGGCTACTATGATGTTTCATGAATGTGAGGGACATTTGTGGGATTGGGATCACAATCTCCCAGGACCACAGACTCTGTTGTTTCTGTGGCCTTTCTAGAGCCCTGTGGAAGGTAAGCTGAGCCATGTCCATCACTCTCCCATTGTTATTTCTGTCACCAGTTTAGAGAGACATCTGTGGGTATAATGGAACCTATGTGGTTGAACTTGATCAAGAAAAAGCTTAAAGGGAGAAAATACTCGCACGTGAAAGAGTTTGTGCAAGACATGAGGCTCATCTTCCAGAACCACAGGACCACGTTCAAGGTCAGCACCCTCTCTGCCTGCATCTCATTTTCTTTCCACTGGGTTGGTTACTCTTTCCTTAATTTCTGGTACCTGTAATGAGGTTGCATAAGCAAGAAGTCAGAGAGTGCCAGACACAGTGGGGCATGCCTGTGATTACAGCCTTCAAAGGCTGAGGGAAGAGAATTGTCTTGTGTTCAAAGCCTGCCTTGTCTATAGTATGAGACCCTATCTCAAAGGGAAAAAAAGTCTGGAGGTGAACAATATTTCTCTTTTTGATTTAACATGAATACTATGTTTCACTAACAGAAAGGTCGCCAGCACCACAGAGCTCTTTTCCTTCCCAGTCTATAAGGCTAGAGGACCAGAAAGAGGACAATTAAGCTGCAATGTCCCCCGACAAGGGCATTTATTTCTATTAATTGATTAATTTTTTAAAAAATATATGTATTTCTTTTTTGTTTCTTTGAAAATATATGTATTTTAAAATACATGTGGCCAGGCTTTTGTGGCCCACCAGCTCTCAAATAATGACATGGAGACTTATTATTAATTATGAAAGGTTGACATTAGCTTAGGGTTTTTTTTCCCACTTGCTCTTAAGGCTTAAATTATTAAAGATTAAATTATTAATTTATGTTCTGCCATATGGTTTATTACCTCTCACCAGTAATGTGAATATGACTTCCTCTGCATCTGGCTGAAGAATCCCTCGCCCTTCTTCTCATTCCCATGTCTTCCCAGAAGTCCCCTCTTATCCTCTCCTGACTAGTTGTTGGCCATCCAGCTCTTTAGTAAACCAATCAGAAGGCACGTTAGGTAGCTGAACTAGTACAGAGTCACATCTTCAGAGTGTAAAAAAGATTATTTCACAACACAAAGTGTGATGGCACAAGTTTTTAATCTCTCTCTGTGTGTGTTTGCACATGTGTGTGTGTGTGCATTTGGCAGAAATGTCACAGTGTATGTGCATGTGAGTGTAGTTACCTGTGGAGGTCAGAGACCTCAGATCCCCCAAAGCTAATGTTACAGCAGCCTTCATGATCACCAAGCTATTTCTCTAGATCCTAGTTGTCTTAGTTAAGGTTTCTATCATTGTGAATAGACAGCATGAGCATGCAGTTCTTCTAAAAGAAAACTTATTTAGAGCTAGCTAACAGTTGCAGAGGTTTAGTTCACTAACACCATGGTGTATGATACACAGGCAGACATGGTGTTAGAAAAGGTGCTGAGAGTTTTACATGTTGATTCACAGCAGCAGAAGGAATATGTGTCTAACTGGATGTAGCTTGAACATAGGAGAGCTCAAAATGGGCCCACAGTGACACACTTTCTCCAACAAGGCCACACCTACTCTAATAAAGCCACAACTCCTAATAGTGCCACTCCCTGTGGTGACCATTTTTTGGAAACCTTCACACTAGTTTAAATATATATGTGTGTGTATGGACATGTGTGATATATATGTATACATGGGTGTGTGTGTTCATGTGTAAATGCAGATGCATTTGTGTCATACTACACATGAGGATCAAGTTAGAGGGCAACCGTGGGTGTTTTTCACATATCATCATGTTGAGACAATCCTTTTGTCACCACTGTGGTGGTGGAATTACTGATGTGTGTTACCACATGAACTTTTCCATGGGTTTTGGGGATCTGAACTCAGGTATTCACACTTGTGTGGCAAGCATTTGCCCACTGAGTCAACTCCCCAATCTGAAAATGTTTCTGCTTGTTACTTTATAGAGACATGATTCTCAGAAATAGCAAAGTCTGAGTTAACTTACATGTGACTAGACCATGAAGTGAACAGGTTCCATCAGAGGTTAGACATGCTGAGGAGATGGTTCTCTCACTGAGAATGAGTACCATCATTCTTGCCTTTGTTGTTTTCTAGGACCATAACTTTGGCCAAATGGGACTTAGACTGGAGTCTGAGTTTGAGAAGAATTTCAAGGAAGTGTTTGCTATTCAGGACACAAATGAAAACAGTTGACTGATGTCACAGATGTTGCTGGTGTCCTGGCACCATGTCCTTTTCCTGCCAGGTCTTCCTATCTGTAGTAGTGAACATTCTTTACCGATGCCATCATCTCCAGGGGATTCTCTGGGTCACATGGGGACAGCTGCAAATGGGAGTTACACCTCCTGGTCTTGTGGTCCACCCCCCCTGCCTCCAGCGGGAACAAAGGGTGTGATAGGTTGCTGTTCTTTGCTCCCCAAGGATCTAGGCTAGAGGCAGTCTCCAGATGGCCTGGCCCAATTTCCCCTGTGACACATATGTTCCTGACAGCACTTCATAGCTAACCATTATCCTCCAAGATGTCAACTCATGTGGTGAGACACTCCTGTAGTCCCAGCCCTTGGAATGCTGAGGCAGGAGGATAGCTGCAAATGTGATGCCAGCCTGGGCTACATCGTGAGTTTCAGTGACTTTGGTAATAAAGCAAGGTCCTAGTTAAAGAGCAAATAAACAATTCACCAAATAAAATTTTAAAAAGGCCTTATATTGTGGTATATTATTTGTGTTTTAATAAATAAAGCTTGCCTGAAGATCAGTGCAAAGCAGCCACACTTATTCATACAGGCCAGGCAGTGGTTGCAAACATCTTTGTTCCCAGCAGCCATAGCAGTTAGCCATAAACACTGGGCAGTGGTGATGCACGCCTTTAATGCCAGCAACAAAGAGGAATATAAGATGGAAGGAGACAGGTCTCAGTCTCAGTCTCTATCTGAGGATAACTGGAGGCAGTATTGTCCACTTCAGTCTGAGGTAGAGGTAAGAGCCAGTGGCTGGATGCTTGGCTTTTCTGATCCTCAGGTTGAACCCCAATATCTCTCTCTGGATTTTATTATTCATGTTACATTTGGTGCCAGCACTTGGCATACAAATTCACAATAAAGCCTTTTGCCTGTGGCATTACAGTCACTGGTATAGGCCAGAGCAACAAGCGGCCAGAGTCACTGCCCTAATAGCTAGGTTTTCTTTTTTCCTCTCCTGGAGGGCTCTCCCTGAACTCCCTTTTTGGGATGCTGCCAAACTAGGTGGCTGCCTTGAAATCCAGTCAGGCTTTTACTGTTCTACACAGCAGCAATCAGCCTCACATCTTCATCAACATCATCGGCAGCTTTGGTAAGACAATTGGAAGTTCTTAAAGAGAGGAATTAGTTAAAAGAGAGAGTTTTTTTTTTAACACATTAAAAAATGGGAAACACCATGAGAAGGAATTTGTGTCTCTGTATGATAATATGATGGACAGTTTGAAAATGGAATGATTAAATAAGAGGATATCTAATTTTGATAGGATTCATGTAATATCAATTATAAACATTATCAGCTTTATCATTTTTGTCTTATGACCAACAAGTTAGTTAATCTGAATGCTAAGATACAGACCTCAGAAAACTTAATAAAACAGACCACAGAGATATTCAAATTAAGACAGAGGAATTGAATGGAGAACTAATGTCAGTGTTGCATTGTAAGAATAGAGAGGAACAGCCTAATGTTTTCAAACAACCAACCTTAATATATCCAGTAACCTTACAGGACTTGCCAGATGACAGAGGCTCTATTACATCTAACTGGACTCCTATGCCAATTTTAGATTCAAGGAAATTCAAGGAAGCAATAGTCTTAAATGCCACGCATTGTAGCAGCGTAAATGAATGCAGACAGATTGTAAAGAATATATACAGCTTTAATGAAGAAATAGACTTACAGTACCAGGGTTCCCGTGGAAACAGGAAGCAGAAGGGAAGGTTGGGCGCACGCTGGGCAGATTTATATAGGTAAACATTAGCCCCAGGCGAACCCGCCCCCAGAGGGCGGGGCTTAACCCTACAATGCATTCCCCTTTTGTGAAGCAAATGTTAACCTCATGGTCAGATTGTAATAGAATTATTACTAAAGCATGGATAGAGCTGGTTAAAGCTATTTTAGAGCCTGTTCCACAATTACAATAGAGTAACTGGTTCAGAGAAGAGGCTAAGAGTATTGGACAACAGAGGAAAGCTAGAGGTATGGAAAACCCCTAAGATCAAATACCTGGAAAAGGAGATTATGCTACTATAGAAAGGCAATCTCTATATGATGTTCACACCCTGGTTTTATGACATGCAGCTTTAAATGCTTGGGGCAGAATTGAAGAAGTGGAAAAAAATGATTAAATCATTTACTAAAGCCATATAGGGCCCAAAAGAAATCTTCACAGATTTTCTTACAAAGGATGACATCAACAATAAATAAATAAATGATACCAAATTCAGAAGTTAGACAAATAATAATTGAACCTCTGGCTTTTGAAAATGCTAATTGTCTGTGTGAAAGGATAATTAGGCTACTAAAAGCAAGGTCAGCACCTTTGGAGGAATGGGTTCAAGATACAATTAATATTGTGTCCCATGACCATGTTGATGCATGGTAGGAGAGAGGTAATTTCCAGAAATTTGAGGAAAACTTGAAATGTCAAATGTTATAATTGTGGCAAACAAGGTCACCTTAAATAGGATTGGAGAAATGATGTTACTAGAAACAATTTTTTCAAAGCATAATCCATTCACAATGTCCCTCCCTTCTGGTTTATGCAGAAGATATGGCAAATGCAGGCATTAGAGTAATAAATGTAGGTCAACAAGGGATAGTCAAGGTAATCCTTTGCCATTGGGAAAATCCATGAGGGGCCTCTTGCTGGCCCCTATGTCAAAGTGGGTTAGTCATTTCCTGCCATTGCAGAGGAGCCTCCTTCTCAGAGCAGTTAAAGAACCTAATGTCTATTATAAGAAATCATACTGCTCTGGATGATAGACTAGCTATAGAAGAAAGAACAAAAAATTCAGGAGAAACCATAAAATGAGTATTTTGGCAAACTTCTATAAAGAAAAAAAAGATCAAAGTTTAAAATTACAAATGAATGACATCGTCATTGAAGGTCCGTACACAGGTACAGATGCAACAATAATTTCTTCAGAATCTTGGCATCCAAATTGACCTCTTCAGGAAGTAAATGTTCAGCTTTTAGGGATCAAAACTTATCTCAGGTAAACAAGAGCACAAGATAGGTTGCATGTATAAGGCCAGAAGAACGAAGAAGAATATTAAACCGTATGTGGCTAACATAGCAATGAATTTGTGGGGATGTGATTTGCTACAGCAATGAAATGCTCAAATTAATATTCCCCCAATCTTAGAAACAAACCAAAAATTAACATATGTTTCTGGGAAAATATTACAAGATACTATAAAAAAACAGTCACTACTCAGGTTGTACAAAATCAGGGCACAACCAGTTGCTAATCTTCTAAAGGTACCAACAGCTCTACCTTTAAAATGGTTATTAGAGAATTATTAAAGAGACCACAGTTTCCAGCCCAGAATACTATACCCAGCCAAACTTTCTATCTCCATAGAAGGACAAAACAAGACATTCTATGACAGAAATGGACTTAACCAATACCTAGCCACAAACCCAGTACTACACAAAGTGCTACAAGGAAAACTCCAACCCAAGAAATTGTCCTCATCAACATAAACACAGACAATAGATGATCTCACAGCAGCAAATTACAAAGAATGGGAAAATACACAAAATAACATCACCAACAATGAAAACTAAAATAACAGGAGATAGCTATCCTCGTCATTAATATCTCTTAATATAAATGGGCTCAACTCATCTATAAAGAGACACGAGCTAGCAGATTGGATATGAAAACAGAATCCATCCTTCTTCTGCATACAAGAAACACATCGCAACATTAAAGGCAGGCATATCCTCAGAGTAAAAGGGTTGGGAAAAAATTTTCCAATTAAATGGACCTAAGAAACAAGCTGGCATAGATATCTTAATATCTAACAAAATAGACTTCAAACTAAAACCAATCAAAAGAGACAACAAAGAACATTTCATATTAGTCACACGAAAAATCCATCAAGAGGAAATCTCAATACTGAACATCTATGCCCTGAATACAAGGACACCCTCATATGTAAAAGAAACACTACTAAAGCTTAAGTCACACATTAAACCACACACACTAATAGGACGAGATGTCAACATTCTACTCTCACCTCTAGACATGTCTGTCATACAAAAAATTAACAGAAAAATAAGGGAACTAAATAATATAGCTTCCTTTAAGCATCTCATCAAACCTTTATAAAAACTGACCACATACTAGGTAACAAAACAAACCTCAAGAGATATAAAAAAAAAAATTGGAATAACCCCATGTATCTTGTTGGATCACCATGGCTTAAAATTAGAATTCAATAGCAATACTAATTCCAGGAAGCCCACAAGCACATGGAAATTAAACAATACTCACTTGAATCATCAAGGAAGAAATGGAGAAATTTAAGACTTCCTAAAATTTAATGAAAGTGACCACAGAACATACCCAAATTTATGGGACACAATGAAAGCAGTGTTAAGAGGAAAGTTCATACCACTAAATAAAGAAGCTGGAAAAATCCCACATTAGTGAATTAACAAAACATTTGAAAACTTTAGAACTAAAAGCCAACTCACCCAGGAGAACTAGATGGCAGAAAATAATCAAATTGAGAGCTAAAATCAAAAAAAAATAGAAACAAACAAACAAAAAAAAACCAATACAAAGACTCAAAGAGACAAAGAGTTGGTTCTTCAAGAAAATCAACAAAATAGACAAGCTTTTATCCATTCTAACCAAAATGCAGAGAGAGAGAGAATATCCAGTTAACAAAATCAGAAATGAAAAGGTGGACAAAACAACACACATGGAGGAAATTGAGAGGATCATCAGGTCATATTTTGAAAACCTGTACTCCCTAAAACTGGAAAACTTAAAGGAATTAGACAACTTTCTGGATAAATATCACTTACCAAAATTAAATCAAGACAAGATAATCAAATTAAATAAACCTATAACTGCTAAAGTAATAGAAACAGTCATCAACAGTCTCCCAACCAAAAAAAGCCCAGGACCAGATGGTTTCAGTTCAGAATTCTACAAGATTTTCAAAGAACTATACCAATAATCCTCAAATTGTTTCACAAAATAGAAACAGAAGGAATATTGTCAAATTCATTTTATGAGGCTACATTACCCTGATACCCAAACTACATATAGGCATTACTAAGAAAAAGAATTACAGACCAATCTCACTCATGAACATTGATGCAAAATACTCAATAAAATGCTGGCAAACTGAATCCAATAACACATCAAAACATTATCCAACATGATCAAGTTGGCTTCATCCCAAAGATGCGGGGCTGGTTCAACATACAAAAATCAATCAATTTAATCCATCATATAAACAAACTAAAAGAAAAAAATATGATAATTTCATTAGATGCTGAAAAAGCATTTGACAAAATCCAACACCCCTTCAAAATAAAGGTCTTGGAGAGATCAGGGATACAAGGAACATATCTAAATATAATAAAAGCAATATACACCATGCCAACAGCCAACATCAAATTAAATGGAGAGAAACACAAAACAATTCCAC